TTCTTCTTTCATCTCGAACTCCTGATTGTCATTGAAGGATTCCTCTGACATTTATCCTTTATCATCATTTAATGAGTTTACCATATTTCTCCAGCTTTGTGCTTTTCTTCTCATTTGTTGTTTACTCTCTTCCAAAAATGCAGAACTAGGGTCTAATATTTAAATAATTTGAGAAGTTTTGAGTTAAACAAGTTTTTACAAGGTTTTATAGAGCTTACGCAATGTTAATGTGTGTGGTGAATTTTCAGGAAGATAGTATTGTGTGCACTATTTTCCAGACTTTTTCAAGAGCATCTTATAGAACATCTGTTTAGTTTAGAAAATGCTGACTAAGTCTCAGAGAGAGACTTCTATCTCTTCCACTGTTATGGGTTAAATTGGGTCCCCTCAAAAAAGATATGTTGAAATCCTAATATCTAGTACCTCAGAATGTGACCTTATTTGGAAATATGGTCTTTATAGGGTTAATCAAGTTAAAATGAGGTAATTAGGGTGGGCCCTAATGCAGTATTATCGGTGTTCTTATAAAAAAAAATTAAAATTTAGACAGACAGATATGCAGAGAAGGAAGATGATATGAAGAGACACAGGAAGAAGATGGCTTTCTTCAAGCCGAGGAATGCCTGAGACTACCAGAAACAAGAATAGAAGCCTGGAAGAGATCCTTCCCTAGCATCTTCATGGCCCTGCAGACCCCTTGATATTGAACTTCTGGCCTCCAGAACTGTGTTGTTCTAATCTACCCAGTTTGTGGTACTTTGAGACTAATACATTCCCCAATATCCATTTGTCTAGCTTGGTCGTAGGTAAATTAGGTTCATTTATTTATTTATTTTTATTTTTTATTTTTCTCTCTACTTCTAAAAAAAATACATCTGAACATTTCTATAATAGTCTTAAAAATAACACAAACACCCATTCTTTTTCTCTTGCATTGTAATAAAGTATCAATTTTTAGCTAAGCAAGTGACCAGCTCAACCAGGGATCAGCAAACTCTGTAAAAGTCCAGATAGTAAATATTTTATGCCTTGTGGGACATATATTTATTGTTACGACTACTCAATTTTGCAATCGTAACAGGAAAGCAACCACGGATAATATGTAGACAAATGAGTGTGGCTATATTCCAATAAAACTTTATTTACAAAAATAGGCAGCAGACCAGATTTGGCTCATGGGTCACAGTTTGTTGAGCACCTACTGCATGCCAAGCACTGTTCTGGGAGTTGGCAATACCATAGTATACAACATATTCAAGGACTCTGCCTCGTGGAGCTTGAAAAATCTTGAGGACAGCTGTGTCCTCAGCACCTTTTGTCGTGCAGGGCACACAATGGGCAATTTAGAAATACTGAACCAGTGAGTGATTGATAGTCTCTGGCGCAGGAAGAGATGAGCCAAGCTTTTCAGGTATTAGGCCAGGAGGAAACTCTGAACCCCTGGGATGCTAACTAAAGTACAACAAAAAATTTCCCATTGGCAGTTTGATTCCTTAATAGCATTAGAGACCATCAACAGGTTACATCTCAAGAGTCTTTGAACCTCTCACTTCAAATCCTTGCCTTGCTGTTTCCATCCAATGTTAAATGATATCATAATCCTTATCAACCTTATTCAAACCTTCACATTAAAACACTCACCTTAAACTAGAATCCAAATCTCAAATTCAATTTATTCCTTCCTCCTCCAACACACTACCAAAGCTATTTCAAGGTGGTGTCTTCCCTGATGGCAGTAGCAATACATTCGGCTTTCTCTTATGAACAGACCATTCTAGTGATATTTTGGGAGACAGCATTCAACAACATAATGTTTAGTGAGGAAAACCAGATGCAAAAGAGAACATGACTTTATGAATCAATTTATATAATGTTCAAGAACAAGCAAAACTAATCTATGGTGATAGAAATCAGAACCATAGTTATTCCGGGCGTGTATGGTGGTGGTAATACAGTATGTATTGCCTGGGAGCAGACATAAGAGAGTTTTCTGAGTACTGGAAATGGCCTATATCTTAATCTAGATGGTGGTTACATGAGTATAAATGTATGTAGAAATTCACTGAGCCGTACATTTTTGTGCACATTTTACTAATTAAAAAAAAAAAGTGATTTAAATAAAAGGTTTATATTTTTTTAAAGGTTAAAAATTTAATAGGCATCATATTATCTGGAGAGCTGACTGTAATTTTAGAACCACTGCTCTAGCCAAGGGGTTGTCTCAAACAATATGGAGTTAGGTATTTGGAGACCATCTGGCTACCTTGGTTTTGCTTTCAGACCCTCTAGGCATTGTCTGTATCTGAGACTTGAGCCATTGCAATTGGCCCTGAGCCTTGCACATGAATCAGTGATATTTGTACACATATGACAGAGAGGGGTGTGATGAGAATTAGCAAGTGGAATGCTTGACACAGTCTTCTTGCAGGATGCAACTTATGAATATAGGCACCTTGAAACTGTCTCTCTTGGGGAACTATTACAGTGTCGCTCCTATAAAAGCTTAGTATGTGATGTACATTAAGAGACTCACCACCCTTTTCTCTGTTTTAAGGATTTAACTACGTTAGTTGAGATTGCATTTAGAATTGTGCCAAAATTGGGGGAGGAGACAGTGCAGATGGTTACCATCCTTATTATTTGTGCCATTCACCCAAATTGTCTCATATAGCAATAGTTTGTTCTTTTAAATTGCTGTATAGTAGGGAAAAATGTGTATATGTGTTGCGTATGTACGTGTGTCCATTCTATGTGTATGTGTGTGGGCCTGAAAGAGAGAGAATTAATTGATTGCTCAACTGATTCCAGGAATTAACATGAAATCTACCTCCAAAAAGGCCTAACAAGATTCTTTAACCACACTAATTAAAATAAATATACATATTGACAAAGACATGTACACACATAAATATTTCATGTTAAAAGGGATGAAAGAACACTTCGTACTAGCCTGGGATGGGTGACTCAGTTTCTGGATTTGTTAAGATGAGTTAGATCATCTTCACAAACTGGGCCAAGTACCCTGCCATTGTCAATGCTCCTCTTGTCTCAGAAAAGTAAAATGAGGAAAACTCAGGCTGTGCTACAAAAAACCCTGATAAAGGTCAATGCTCAAAGTAAAGGAATTTCATGATTTTTATTTTCAAAATAGAAAAACATATGTAGTTGATATTTATAAAAATCTTATTTAGTAGCTAGACTAAGTAGGTATTATGAACTTATATTTCTTGAACAGAATGGTAATTCTGGCTTCCTCATAATATTTTTTAGCTTGTAGTTACTGCCTGCCTCACCTGGCCCATCCCTCCACCTAACTGCAGGCACGTTTATTCTCCCATGACGACTGTAGAATTACTCCTCTGTTCGCCAACAAGAACAATGGTTTTCTCATACATTTGGAGAGTTTCCTCTTAAAGACTATGGACTACTTCCTGAACGATTTTAGCACTATATCTTTCTTTTCTCATTTTTCTTTTCTTTCCAAAAATAATATGTGTTTATTATAGAAGCTTTAGTAGACTAGATAACCAAAATTAATCAAGACAAAAACCACTCAGACTCTGATTAAAATTACATTTTAGTTCACAGATAGATAGATGATGATAGATAGATAGATAGATAGATAGATAGATAGATAGATAGATAGATAGATAGATAG